CCTGGGATTCTTCCCTTTTGGTCTTGCTCCTCACACGACGTTACTCCACATGGACTAGTCTAGCACTTCGTCCCTCCTGCAAGAGGCAAAGATCCAAAACAAAATCTAAAGCTGGTCTATACAATGTCAACGGAGATTTGATACCCTCCTCGCAGTGTTCAGAAGATCCAAGGTACCTTTGACCTCGATTGAAGTGTATCAAAAACTGGCACCCTTCATGAGAGCCCTTCTTGTTAGGTCATTGTCACAAAGATTTCAGTGAGAACAAAGGGTCTTTTGTTGCCTTCAAGACGCATTGAGAACTTCATGTGACTTCCAAAACATACATCGACCAATGAAGCTCAGAGTAAAACACCCACAAATCCTCACGTCAACCCTTGCCACGCTGGGAATCTAGCTTCCTTTTTTGTTGTAAAGTTGAAGCGTCTCAACTTCCAAAGATGAACTTCGAGTGTAAGAATATCGTCAATCCACTTCTTTTTTGAGAAGCTCGCTAGACTATCTTTCTTCCCTTTCGATCCCCCACTTTTCAGAAAATTTCGAGCCTTCGATTACTCCACCACGATGATCAAGACCGAAATCCTGCAGCTCTTCAGCATTTACACCCTATTACTTTTCTCTAAATTTCATGCCACCATTTCACTTTCACCAGTTGGAATTATTGATGTTGCTCATGAGTCTGCTACAGGAATTACTGATGCGCACGACGCCGGAGCTGTCAAATCTACAATAGAACTAGCAGGTGAAAGAGTACCTCACTCTCAACCTCAACCATGTCGAAGAAGCATGGCTGGTTGTTTCCCTGGCTTCCTCAGAAGTTCCACGACCAGCGCACGAACTTCGCAAGCTGGTATCAGAGGAGGCGAGACCGCTGAAGGCACTAGAGCTGGCGAAACTTTCGCAAAACCAAGATCTTGGACGTTTTCGATTGCATCAAAGTTTCGTCGAGTTCGATCCAAACTGCTCTTTGGGTTTTACCCTGCAACCAGGGACAATTGGAATCTTGGTAAACACGCTCCTTTCCTTCAAAAAAATGAAATCGTAGATTGACTGAACTCCTTCCTCCCCTCACAATCTCAGTTCATGCGAGCTATGAAGAGATTCTTGCTAGTGCTATCAGATCGAAATCTGGCTGGGGAGATGATGGAAATTTCGCCGCCAACCTCGCTGATCTAAGAACTGCTCGAAGGCAATCAACAGCTACTCTTGGTTTGCATCCATATGTAAGACAATACATCTTGAAGATCGAGATCCCGAATCTACACCAAGATCTCGTGAAGTCACTCGATAAAGTCTTGAAGAATCTTCTGCGAGATGGTGGGGGAAGAGGAGAAGCTGGCTCCGATATGGGATCTAAAGTAGCGATCATCAATAAATTTTTCAAAGCTGAACTTCAAGACCCGGAACTTGCACCTTATCTTGGAACTCTCAAAGGTCAATTGGACAAACTAAATGCATTACACCCTTCATCAGATTCTACCGCCGTCCCAGAGAGCTTATCTTCAGCTCAACTTCCACTCAAACCATCATTTTCAAATTTGGGGAAACTGAAAATACCGCCAGAACAGTCTCAATCAACACGCAACTTTTGGGAAGATATGAGCTGTGAGTTTTTCGCACAAATGTTTGCAAAAAGCATCGACCAACTGAACGCAATATCTCCTTCTGAACAACCCACAGATCAATTTAACGCTGAGAGGAATCATCTGAGGTATCTTATAAAGATAGATAAGCCTATACTCCAAGAATGGACCCGGATAGAACAACTCACTGCTGAATTTGGACACACTACTTCACCTCAAGCATGGGGAGATAAAGCTTTTCACCCCAACCAATTCACAATATCGGAATATAAAAACCTGAAAGCGATAGGCGCAGCACGCAGACCTTTGATTCAAAAAGCGACTCTTGCTTCGAAAGCTTCATACTACCAAGGACAAGGAATTGATGATGCAGAGATTCTGATAAGGCGCAAGCTTGAACTTGAGAGTTTACTGATTCAAAGTTTTGGGGAACGGTTGGATGAAGTCAAGGAGATAGTACAGGGGTTGGTTGATGGGTCCGATACTACTGCTCGGCATTATCTTACGTTCATCGACAACTTCAATTCTCGAACCATGAATCTAGGTAGAAATCCAGATAGTGCGTTGGCTCAACTGAGGATGCAAGTCCAACTACCTAATCAACCTTCGGCGACCCGGCAAGGGAGAAGACCACCGTCTCGTCCAACTCCCCAACTCAATCATGTTGACCCTCAAAGCGGCTACGCAGATCCCGAAAATCCGGTCTTCCATGGTGTATCTTTTCGAGAAGGTGGTCCATTTGATCGCTACTCTCCTGATGCTCAACAGCAATTTGTTGAAAGTACATTATTACAGAGGATATCTCGTTGATAGTTTGTTTGAATCTCCTCGGAATTTCTTGAATTGCTCTTTATTCAGAATGTCTTGGGTGAAAAAAGATGATCACTTTGATGACCAGTGAATTTTCAGAATCAGATACTTATTCTTTCTGACCTCATTGTTTTCTATATGATTGTACACCTCACAAAGCAAAAGACTTGTTTCATTTTTGGTGATAAATCATAATTTCCTAGCCTTTTCATTCAATCCTTCCTGTTTTATTTCATTCAGTATCTGATCACCATTCATTTTGTATCTGCTGTAAGCTCTCCAATTTCCTCGATCAATTTTCATGGCACTGAAATCTGAAAATTCAACATTCACAGAGTGAACCTTTTCTTAAGTTTGATTCAATCACAATTTCCAACATGTCAACCTTGACAAATCAGTCAAGAAGTTCCAGTGTCCTGGGTCGTGGTTTTCCCAATCAAATTATAACAAGCTTTGCCAAATTTGAAAGCACCATGTTCCACAACCAGAAAATACTCTGAAACATTAAGTTTGAAGTTGCCTTCTGAATCTGCATCAACTCAGATCAACCTTAGGTGCACCAGCAGTACCCACAATCTCCTCAAAGTGCTTCAATTTGACTTGAGCTGGAAGAAGCCAAGATCTATAAAAACCGATTAGGTTTGATTTTGGTGCAAGTACGGAAAGAAGCCACATACATAAAGTACATGACTTGATGTTCCCTTCATTGCCTGATCAGATTCGATGTAGAGTCTTAACAATTGAAAGAAGAGGTCATGAGGTAATAGTGACACCAATTTCTAGTCTAGCAGAGTAGATAACTTTAGAAAATGGGAAACCACACGGAAACCAGCATGGAAACTTGGCATCTGAAAAGTCAGATACTATCACCAGACAGTTTTTTTTGGCCACGGTGTAGTTTTTAGTTTTTCTTCTTGGCCAAGAGAAAGAGATACATACAAAACTTGGCAGATTCTCATCTGAGTCCAACTTGTTGAATTGCGACATTGAGTACCTCAATGATTGTGATCATTCTGATATTCCTGCGAAGAACAGAACAAACTCATGCTTCAAGCCTTAAAAGCGGAATCTTGATGGAGGTAAACCAGCTGACAACAATCTGATGCCTTTGTTGCTTTAGTTAAGGTCGAGGGAAGAGGATAGATCACTTGAGAAAACACCAAGTTCCTCACATATTCAATTGTCGTGACAAGTTCAATCGATCCTCACTTTCACCCAAGACTTAATAGAGCTTTGATGATGAATTGTGATAGAATTGAGAGTTTACCCAGTTATTATGATACTATTGGGTATTGATGTGAAATTGTGAATCAAGATGTGCTCCGGCCGGTATCCGGCGGCTTCAGGCCATTCCGACAACCAAACCGACAGATATTTTGTCTTATCCGCACCAATCGGATAAAATCCAATCGGGTTTTTCCAAAAACCCCTCGTCCAACAGTCGAGCTGGTACACCGGATACGCCGGATTTGAAACGGCACCCGGACGAGGCACAAGGTAGGTTGCTGGAGTCCATCGACTAGCAGGACTTCTACCACACGTCAAGGATCCAGGTCTTGTCATGGCAGACAGGCCAGAGTCTATGAGACTCAACCACCCGACCTGCTCCTGCCAAGAGACTGCTATCTTCCGCTTTGGTATGATCTGACAGGATCAGACGAGTTCAAGATCTCAAGGTGATGGTCATATACTCCATCTCACATGAACTGCTCTCCAAGCTTCTCTCACTCGTCCCTTTCCGTATCATTCCATTTCCACTTTCATCCTTCCCGTGTTGGCCCTTTCTCCCTCAGCATGGCTTTCAGAACAAGTCTCCAAGACTTCTTGGTTTCTCTAAAGGAGGAGACAAAGATAGAGGTACCAACATCAGAGTGCGTCACAGACAACAGGGACCTAAGCACAAAAAGGGGGGGGTTAGCCCTTAGCCCTGTTCTCTGGCCTACTTTCTTGGAGGGGTCAGTCAGAATTTGTGGGGAGGGAGGGATGGACACAAAAACAAGAAGTCTTGGAGACTTGTTCTGAAAGCCAGGCTGAGGGAGAAAGGGCCAACACGGGAAGGATGAAAGTGGAAATGGAATGATACGGAAAGGGACGAGTGAGAGAAGCTTGGAGAGCAGTTCAAGTGAGATGGAGTATATGACCATCACCTTGAGATCTTGAACTTGTCTGATCCTGTCAGATCATTCCAAAGCGGAAGATAGCAGTCTCTTGGCAGGAGCAGGTCGGGTGGTTGAGTCTCATAGACCCTGGCCTGTCTGCCATGACAAGACCTGGATCTTCGATGCATGGTAGAAGTCCCGCTAGTCCATGGACCCCGGCAACCTACCTCGTGCCTTGTCCGGGTGCCGTTTCATCCATTACCTTGTTGGGCCATGAGAGGCGTTGGCTTTGGATGTGACAGCTTCCATGTGGAATCTTTGAGAAGGACAAAATTTGTATGAGTCTGTATTGCATCTCATTATCTATTTTGTGTAACACTTATGTTTGTTACAAAGTAATGAGCAACTTTTTAACAATGATGTACACGTGAACAATGTGTCACGTGTGTGGGGGGAGGTGCCTCTAAACCGTCTTCTCTAGGATGAAACTTGAGAAGGAGGGTAGCTGGGACTTGAAAAGTCTCTAAAAGAGTCCTGTTTCGACTTGTCCAAGCGCCGCCTTAGGATCCGGATAACCGAGAGCAGGATCCAGAGTTTCTCTAAAGGAGGAGACAAAGATAGAGGTACCGACATCAGAGTGCGTCGCAGACAACGGGGACCTAAGCACAAAAAGGGGGGGTTAGCGCTTAGCCCAAAACTCAGTGTCTTTGCAAAGCCTGAGCCTTGCGCAAACCCCCGCACTGTGCAAAGGAGACTGTCGAAAGAACGTACTCATGCCATTTCCAGATTTCCTAGTTATCTAGCCTGACTATTGTTTATCAACGTAATCAATGTTGCCGCGCGACGTTTGGCCTCGTTGGTATAGTCACGCAGGTAGATGAGATAACAATTTGAGGTCCAACGGCCTAGCTGTTGGATTTCGGTATGATTCATGCCCAGAGCGTTATGTAGAGAGGCACCTCCGACGCGAAAGGAGTGGCCAGATAAAGTAGTAAGGCCTTCTGCATCCCAGATCTCCTTGCAGCGACAAATGACCGCCGTCCGTGTCGAATTTACTCTGACATCTCCATTGATTATCCGCACCGATCGGATAAAATCCAATTGGTTTTTTTCCAAAACCCCCTCGTCCGACAGTCGAGCCAGTACACCGGATACGCCGGATTTCTGCCGGATAACCGGAGTATCCAGTGTATATCCGGCATTATTTTCCCCTCCCCTCATTCCAAATACCGCACTGGCCGGATTACCTGGCCACCGGACAATCTTGGAGCCCTTTCCGGCATCCGGATCCGACGGATATCCGACCAGAACGCGGGTCCGGGTCTCATCTTGAATTGTGAAAGGGTAATTTACAGTTGACTCTGAAATAACCCATATCCCCAATACACCATACTCTACCCTAACCCATAGTTTTTGGCCTCCATATTTTTTATGGGCGGGGAAAACGGGCCAAAAACCCATAACTCTATCATACCCCATAACCCATAGCTTTTTTTGAAAATCAAAGCCAAAAACCCATAGTTTCCCACAAAAAATTCAAATATTGCACCATAGAGTCTCAATCCATCTGCTGAGCAAGATCTTGAGCAGGATATTCAAGAACTCATTTCATTGAATTGTTCATAAAAAAATATGATGCCCATTACAGAACTCCTAAATCCTACCTATGAGCACACGAGTGGCCTTGAGACCTGGAGTCCGGAGGAAATCTTTGAAGCAATTAGACAATGCAACAACATCACACCTCTATCTGCTCCAGAACACACTGAGATCAAGGTGCCTCCTTGCCCAGCATACTCTGACTTCCTTAAGTCAGCCAATGTAATGACAAATTACCTCAGACAGAAAGATTCTGAGGAAGCAAAATCTTGTGGGAGGGCTCTTTGGCAAGCTCTGCATACATTCAGTGCAGCTCCTTCCAAAACGCTAGTCCAGCCCAACCTATTAGGCATTGGGCGAAATTTTCGCTCTTTTTTCTATTTTTTTGACCGACCAGCGATGCGCCCCACGAAGCAATCCGAAGATTGCAGAAGCGAGTGAGTTTCACAGGTAAAAAGCCCTGTCGCTTTGCCCGGCTATCTTTTAGGGTCAGATGTTCATTTGCCTCGGTCCGATGACCGCTTGACTCTTGTCTTCGAGGTTTTTGCTCGTCAACTCCAGCAGTTTGTGACCAATCCAGAGGATCAAGATTTGAATCTTTTGATTTAATTTCAGCTTGAAATTGGACAAGTCTGTCTAGTTTTGAGTCAATAAAATGTTCCAATTTTGACTGCCACGTTAGAAGAAAAAGTCATCGGATGATAGATCACGGCTGCTGGGGGATACCCGGGTAGATTCAGAACGGGGGGCCCCAGGCAAGGTATGTGTGAAATGTCTGAAAGGTGTCTTTTGTGGCGCAATTAGGGCTTGTGGCTTTTACAGGTCAAGCAAGGATGCTCTACGCCCGATGAAATTTCAGAAAATTTTTGTAAAGCAAAACAAGAAATATTTTTTTGCTGTGCTTTGGGTGGCTTTGATATTGTGCCAGCCATCCCTACTCAAGCATTCCAAGAAAACTGAACTACCTTTGAATTGGTTCCCGCAACCAAAAAACGAAAATTTTCAGAAACCTCGCCCAATGCCTATTGTCTTTCCTTGCTTGCTCTTCTTGAAACATATGCAATGAAATCTCATACTCTCTTGCCTTCTGCAAAAAAATCTCTGCAATAAACCATAACCACTAATATGTATATGGGTGATTGCAGAGGATCCTGATAGGCCATACTCTAAGATAACCCATACTTTTTGGGTTCCATAAAAGGGTATGGGTTATCTCAGAGTCAATGGTATACATACTAAACTTAACAAAGTCCCACGCTCGCGCACGCGCATCCCGCGAGAGGATGCGCGAGCGTGGGACTT